CTGTTTACTAAACTACAGATTTTATTCAGATTTTGCTGATTCTCCCATCAATGTCCTCTTCCTTTCCAGGATCCAAAGCTGGACACCACGTTGCATTTAGGACATAATTCTTTTTCATGTTTTGCTTGAAGATGGACAAGTAAACCCAGCTAGAGTGTGGTTTTAGCTCTTGTGTTACTACACACCTAAATAAGCTTATACATTACTTCAAGCAAAACTTTAGAAGGTCCAACCAATGCAATTCAAATTAACTGAATATGATGATTGATGCCATTTTGATGAAAACCTTTTGCCACTTTGCTAAACGAACACACAGCACTGTGTGAATTCTTTTGCAGGCCCTGCCCTTACCTGATCGAGTTGATTAGATTTTTCCATCTCTGTTCTGTTTGATCAACTGTAAAACCTTCTTTCCCACGGCAGACCATGACATCATCGGACTTCTACTTGGCTCAAACTTGTCCCCATCACATTACTTCATACTATCCACCCCCCTTCTAATCGCTGAGGCAAGGCAATAAAAATGATGACACGTGGCACTGTAACCTTAAATGCGAACTTGGCACTGATACTGAATGGTAGTACTCTCAGGAGACGGCCAACCAGATAATCAGATAACTTGTGCTGGCTGTTAAAAAGATTGTATTGAAATTTTAAAAACCCTCTATTTTTTTGAGAATGCAACTGTAAACCCCAGTTTATGACACACTGCAGTGAGATTAATACAACGTTTGGCAAGAAACTTGGATGTTTTAAGGCCTCCGGGAGATGAAGAAGGATGAATGGGAGTTACTGAGGTTTGCAGAGGGAGGGAGTTGAAAGAAGTCCTAAGAGTAGATGCGGAGTCATGAAGAGATAAAAGAGTCTCTTGTACGTTTCAAGCTGTAAGTAATTCGGCTCGGGCAGTGCAGTGGGGGTGAGGGGTAGGTGGGAGAGTGGCTGGGGAGGGGCTGTATCATGTACTGGGATGGGAAATCCAGAGAGGCCAGCAAAGGGGCGCAGATGTATGCTTCTAGGTTTGGGAAGAACTAAAGGGCTCTGAGTTGGAGCGTGATGTGATCAGATTTTCCCGTGAGAGATGATTTTGTCTCCTGTGGGAGACAGACCAGAGAAAAGCATTACAATGGGCCAGGCGACAGAGGATGAAGGCTTGAACTCCTACAACAGTATGAGCAGAGAAGAACGGATCTAACATCTGAAAAGTAGAATTAAAAGGATTTGCAGATTGATCGGAGGTAGAGGCAAAGATTGAGAGAGGAATCTTGAACATTAATTGAAAGTTTCTGAAATGGCAACTAATAGCAGGGCATTTAAGTTATTCGGAGCCTAAATGTAGCTCTTTTTCTTAAACAGTTTTTTTAAAATAAATTTTTTGGGGGGTTTTATTTAATTTTGAGACAGAGCATGAGTGGGGGAGGGGCAGAGAGCGAGGGAGACAGGGAATCCGAAGCAGGCTCCAGGCTCTGAGCTGTCAGCACAGAGCCCGACGCGGGGCTCAAACCCACAAACCGCGAGATCATGACCTGAGTCGAAGTTGGACACCCAACCTGAGCCACCCAGGTGCCCCTCTTAAACAGTTTTAAACGTTTTGGTTCCCAGGACTAAATAATAATAACTAACGCATAGTGCTTGCTATGGTACGTGCTGTTCCAAGTGCTTTACCTGTACTGTATTTTATTGAAACTGAAAGCCCATTAGCTATAAGCTGCACCGTTACCTCAAGCATTACTAGAGGAAAAAGCACTGTCCTGTCCTCCGTGGAAAACAGCCCTAGAGTACGGCAGGTCTAACCCTCCGGCCAGTTACTGTGGGGAGGGAGCGGTCTTGGCATTGAGGACACAGAACACCTTGTTTTATGTTGCAGAAAACACCGCGTTCCCTCCCGTGTGGTTCCCGGCTCTGAGCACTGACATTTCATGTTGGAGACACGAGATGTTTAAATGGATGTGTTTGAAACCATAATCATCTGGTGTAGAGGTCTGCTGTTTTTAATATTACCTAAGGCCAAGATGTATGGATCAAAGAATTAGGACTTTGGGTCAGGATGAGCAGTGATAAATTAATTGATTTATTTTTATCAAGAAATGCTTATTGTAAGTGTGCTACCTACTAGGCATTGGTTTGGGCCAGAGAACCCAGAGATGAATTAAGGCTCAGGGCTGCCACCAGGTCTAGATGGAGGAGGTGGACAGACAAGTATGTTACAGTCCACAAAGATAATTGCCACAGAATTGCTTCAAAATTATTCAAAATAACCCAAGGATGAGGGAGTGGAGAGGGTATAAATGAAACATGATGGGTCATGTGTGCATTGTTGAAAGCTGGGTGATACAGAGCTGAGTTTAATATACTGTTACACTTTTGGGGCACTTGGGTGGCTTGGTCGGTTGAGCGTCCGGCTCTTGATTTCAACCCAGGTCATGACCTCGTGGTTTGTGGGTTCAAGCCCTGCATTGGGCTCTGCGCTGAGTGTAGAGCCTGCTTGGGATTCTCTCTCACTGTCTCTCTCTCTCTCTCCCCCTCTACTCCTTTCCCCAGCTCCTGCACTCTTTCTCTAAAATAATTTTTTAAAAAAAAATCTAGCTAAAAGATACAGTTGCCATAAAGGTATTTATACAGCACAGTGAACACACAGGAGAATGAGCAAGACATTCAAAAGGTGAGTTTTGAGGAGCTGGTGGAATCTGGATATAAGGAGAAATGGAAAGCATTCCAGAATCTAGATTCTGGGAACAAAGATTCAAAACTAGAATAATGATGTTGCAGGATTCTCGCTCAGAGAGTCGTGACACCGAGACTTTTCTTTCCTGGAAGCAACTTTATTATGCCGGCACCGCTCAGTTGGGTTCGTACCCAAAAGAACTGAGCGGCCCACATCATATGGCATAGGGTTTCTTATGCATTTTCTATTTCTTTGTCTCCCATATATGGTAATACACATAAACATGTAGTCTGATTAAGTTGTTTCAGTTTACAAGAACATGGGGGAAGTAGGCAGCTGGACTCATATCTAGGTGACCTTGGAGTCTTCTCTTCTCTCTTCTTCAATTTTTTCTTTCTCCTTAGGGAGGGGTTCCTACCACAATGAAACCGGTACTAATGAATGAGAAGGCAAATTTAGCGGTCAGTTGGAAATCAGATTGTGTGGTGAAGTGGCATAGGGCCCTTAATTATCAAAATTAGTATGATAGATCTATATATCTTCTATCTAACACATAGCACTTAGTAAGTGAGATACTATTGTCTTTTACAATCAATGGGCTTTTACAATACATTCTTGAAATAATAGAAGTAATCGTTTTTGTACAAAAGTATTCAAGATTTCTTGGAAATCGTCCTGTACATTTTGGAAAATAAGTGCTTTCTATTTTTATGACTTGCCTAAAAGGCCTATTTTATTATTCCTATGAAGCCGATGCTCCTTCTACCGTGGCACGCTGCTTCCCCAAGGAGGTTGCGTGCATATTTCCTCAAAGAAACTCTCAAGCAGAAGATAGAATCTGGACTGGAACTTTGAGGACAGTTACAACAAAAACAAAATTGCTAAGCCCAGAAGCCCTCACTCTGTCATAAACTAATATAGCCTGTGTCCCAAATGACCCACCTCAGCTACATATAAGTGATGTGAATAATGAATACTATGTTACAATTTTAAAGGGGCATGTTTGACTGCTGTTAACCTACACTTTCCCCTTAAGTTTCCATCTAAGTGGAAAATTCTCCCGTTCTCACATCTAGGCAACATGTAAAGGCAGTTCTTTAGGCAGTTGGATAATCAACAGAGAGTCTGTGAACTTTCTGAAAAAGATAGGTAGTGAGGGACTGTGTCTATCTGTCATTGCTGTCATACATCCATCTTAAAAGACATCAGGTTTGAAAGCACATTATCTTTGATGTTCACTCCTTTAAAAAAATTTTTTTTAATGTTTATTTATTTTTGAGACAGAGACAGACAGAGCGTGAGCCAGGAAGGGGCAGAGAGAGAGGGGGACACAGAATCTGAGGCAGGCTCCAGGCTCTGAGCTGTGAGCACAGAGCCCAAAGCAGGACACGGACTCACAAACTGTGAGATCATGACCAGAGCCTAAGTCAGACGCTTCCTAAGTCGGACACTTCCCAAGTTAGACGCTTAACTGACTGAGCCACCCAGGTGCCCCTTTAAAACATTTATTCACTTTTGGAGCCAGAGTGTGAGCAGGGGAGGAGCAGAGAGAGAGAGAGGGAGACACAGAATTTGAAGCAGGCTCTAGGGGCTGAGCTGTCAGCACAGAGCCCTATGTGGGGCTTAAACTTGTGAACCATGAGATCATGATGGGAACCAAAGTCAGCAGCTTAACGGACTGAGGCCCCCAGCCCCCCCAACCACTCCTTTTATCGTTTTCTTTTTCCTTAGTATGCTGTTTCTTTTCTTTCACTCCTTAGTGGATGAACGTTAAACAAATCTAGACGAAAGTAACATTTTTAAAAATGTTTATTTGCGAGAGAGAGGGAGAGAGAAAGGGAGATTGTCCCAAGCAGGCTCTCAGAGCCGGAATCATGCATGAGCTGATATAAAATCTTGACTTGGACTGACCCACCCATGCACCCCGCAAGTAACACTGTTATACATCAACTTTATGGAGGACTTATTTGTAATGTAGTGTTGCTGAAAGAAACGCTGTAGAGAGGAATCCACTCTGAATACTCTGGATTGGCTCAGAGGCCGCCTTCTCTGGATGGATTCCCTTGACCCAGCCCCCAAGGCCACGGGACGCCGGTCAGCACCGCCTACCCCACTCGGGCGGCGACACTTCGGCTAGGACAACGACCCTAGGGGCTTGCTAACGTTCGCGGAGTGCAGGGTGGACAGCGCGACTCCCGGCCCTCCCCAGCTCGGGGTGGCCTCGCCAGAGCCCCGCTAGTCTCCCTCCAACCCCTCCTTCCCCTTCTCTCCCCTCTCCTCCTTCCCTCCCCGCCCCCAGCCTCTGCACGTCCCCATTCGGCCACGCCCCCTCTTTCAGGAACTGGCGCGCTTCCGGCGCCCCGAGTGCGTCATCAGCCGGCGCCGGCGCCGGCGCCGCACGCCGCCCGGTCGCGCTGCAACACGCTAAGCTTCTGATGCTCGTGTGCGGCGCGGGGAGAGGGGCTCGCGGAGGAGCGTGGGTCGCCGCTGCTCTGTCCCGCCATGCAGGTGTCCAGCCTCAACGAGGTGAAGATTTACAGTCTCAGCTGCGGCAAGTCCCTGCCTGAGGTGAGGCACTTCGGGGTCCCCCTCCTCTCGAGGCCGCCGCCCCTCTCATCGGCCCTGGTCTCGGTGTTACCTGACCCCGGCCCGGCCCCTGGCTCGGGGAGGCCCGGGGAGGCGGGGTCGCGGGTGACCGTGCCCGCGGGAGCTGGTCGCCGCTAGTCGTCGAGGACACTACTGTCCCCGCGCCAGAAGCGGGGCGGCGGGTGATCAGGGGCGATGAGCTTCGCTGGAACTTTTGCAGAGTTCTCTAGAACAGGCGACGCGTCCCTTTGGGTTCCTGGGGATGTTCCCAGCCTCTGCCGCACGGACGAGGAAAGCGTGGACGGATTGATTACCGGCATTTCTCTCCCTTTTTAATGCCCGTTCGTCAGCTGTTTGTTGGATTTCTGTTCCAGAGATCCAGCAAGCGAGCAAGAAAACGGACGCAGACTTAGCGCCTGCAGACTTGTATGCTTAGACGGCAGTATCGAACCTTGCTGACCTTTTAACTTGATTTCATCGAGTCTTAGGACCTCAGAGTTGTAAGGGGCTGGGAAAATAGTGATTCTTTGACCCTCTTCTTCTCATGTTAAGATAAGCAGCAGAGCAGCGATGGGAAGGGTGACTTGTCCAAGCTCACACACCTGTGATCTGAGGCTTGGGTTTTTTTTTTTGTTTGTTTGTTTGTTTTTAAATTTATTTCTTAGAAGAGATGGTCAAGCCTCTGTCCAGGCACTACCAGTGAGAGGAAACTTCTAGCAGAAGCTCATTTCCATTTTAAGATTACTTGCTAGATACTCGTTTTGCAACTTGTCATTTTTTTAAATTTTTAAATTTTATTTATTTATTTTTATTTCTGAGAGAGAGGGAGAGAGAGGGGCAGTGTGAGCAGGGGAGGGTCAGAGAGAGAGAGGGAGACACAGAATCTGAAGCAGGCTTCAGGCTCTGAGCTGTCAGCACAGAGTCCGAAGCGGGGCTCGAACCCATGAACCGTGAGATCATGACCTGAGCCGAAGTCGTACGCTTAACCGACTGAGCCACCCAGGCGCCCCACAACTTGTCATTTTATAGCATGCTGGTGTTGGTTTCACTCTTGCCCTTAGAAATCTGAATGAAGGGAGAGCTCTTCTCAACTGTGCCCGCCCCCAAAAGATCTGGCGTCTGTGATTAGAGTCTTCCCTCCTTTTCAGAATTCAGGCCAGATAACTTCCAACCATTTGTCACACAGCATGGTCTTTCTCATTTTGATCGTCCTGGGCATTTGGTGAGAAGTAACTAGCTGCGTGCCCGCAGCCCTGTTCTGAGCGTTGGGATACATGATGAACGCATCAGATAAGGTTCCCTGTTGGGGAAAGGGAAGCACATAAGTGAGCAAACAAGAAGACAGCTTCGATGAACGGATTAGAAGAAAGCACTGTGAATTTAAGAAACAAAACAGATGAACATATGCGGGGTCGGGGTGGGGGCAGAGAGGGAAACAAACCACAGAGACTCTTAATGACAGAAAACAAACTGAGGGGTGCTGGAGGGAGGCGGGTGGGGGGAGGGGCTAGATGGGTGATGGGCATTGAGGAGGGCACTTGTCGGGGTGAGCACTGGGTGTTGTATGTAAGTGATGAATCACTGGATTTTACTCCTGAAACCGATATTGCACTGTATGCTAACTAACTAGAATTTAAATAAAAATTGGAGAAGAAAAAAGAACAGTGTTGTGGCTGAAGTGGTCAGAGAACACGTTTTGGATAAAGCCTTCAGGGAAGGCCTCTCTGTAGGAGGAGATATTTGAGCAGAAACCTGGATAACGGGAAGACAGGGGAAGAGTTTTCAGTGTTGAGAGAACAGAAAGTGTAAATGTCCCCAAATGGGAATGCCCTTGGCTTGCTGGAGAAACCCAGGAGGCCCAGTGTGGCTGTGCTGAGGGCAGGCAGAGGGGGCAGGTAAGGCTGGAGAGGTGGGCTTTGTAGACTACAGTGGGAAGTTAGGGTATTATCATTGGGCCGTTGGAAGCCACTGTTGGGCCTTAATCTGAGCTCCTTTGTGCAAACAGCTGTAGCTGGGGGGACCGTGAATGGGGACGAGGTAGACGGGCACCTGAAACACTTGAGCTTTAGAGTTATGCTGTCTGCCAAATTGAGCTACATTAATTTCAGAATAAAATCTGTCAGGGGTACCTGGGTGGCTCAGTTGAGCATCTGACTCTTGATTTCGACTCAGATCATGATCCTGGGGATCATGGGATGGAGCCCGAGTCAGACTCCATGCCGAGCGTGAAACCTGCTTGAGATTCTCTCTCTGCCTCTGGCCTTCACCCCAGCTTGTGTGCGTGCACTCTCTCTCTCAAAAAAACAAAAGCAAAAACGAACCTTCTGTCAGTGAATATACTTAAAAGTGTCTTTTCTGTATTATCACGTGTCAGCTATTTGCTTAATGATCTAGTTTTGTTTTTTGTAAGAAAAATATGCTTAAGAAACTCTCCTTTTAATGCTTTGCTTTTTAATATTTTACCTAAATAAAATTGTTCCATGTATTAGTGGTAACCCATAGTATTTCAGGCTTATCACATCCCCAATGAATTAGGGTTTTTTTTTGTGTAAAACGTAGTAGTTCTAAAATGTCTACGGGCGCCTGGGTGGCTCAGTCCGCTAAGCGTCTGACTTTGGCTCAGGTCATGATCTCATGGGTCTGTGGGTTTGGGTCCTGCCTCGGGCTCTTTGCTGTCAGCACCCAGAGACTGCTTCAGATTCTGTGTCTCCCTCTCTCTGCCTCTCCCCTGGCTCGTCCTCTGTCTCTCTCAAAAATAAAACAAACATTAAAATATAATAAGTAAAATGAATAAAATGTATTGTTTACTATATGTAAATACATACAAGAAAAAAACCCAGGGGGTATGTTAACAGGGTTGGGATTATAGAACATGTTCACTTTCTATGTTAATATATTCCTCTAAGGTTTTACTTTTTTATTTTTTTATTTTTACATTTTTAATGTTTTATTTATTTCTGAGAGAGAGACAGCATGAACAGGGGAGGGTCAAAGAGAGAGGGAGACACAGAATCCGAAACAGGCTCCAGGCTCTGAGCTAGCCGTTAGCACAGAGCCCGATGTGGGGCTCGAACCCACGAACCGTGAGATCATGACTTGAGCCGAAGTCGGACGCTTAACCGACTGAGCCCCCCAGGTGCCCCAGGTTTTACTTTTTTGATGTGAGCATTTTTGTAAGCAGAAAGATAAAGTAAATGTGTTTTAAAATAAAGTCTCTTCATTTTCTTTCAGTGGCTTTCAGACAGGAAGAAGCGAGCACTACAGAAGAAGGATGTCGGTGAGTGTTAGTTTTCCCCACTCTGGCTACATGCACAACCGATGCAACCATGCTTTACATACTTCTTTTTTGTTTGTTTGTTTTAATTTTATTTTCAATGTCTTATTTATTTCCGAGAGAGAGAGAGCGTGAGCAGGGGAAGGTCAGAGAGAGAGGGAGACCCAGAATCAGAAGCAGGCTCCAGGCTCTGAGCTGTCAGCACAGAGCCCGACGCAGGACTCGAACCCACGAACTGTGAGATCATGACCTGAGCCGAAGTCGGACGCTTAACCGACTGAACCACCCAGGCGCCCCATCACATATTTGTTGTTACTGTATTTAAGTGCAGGCCTACAAAAATACAGTGCAATTAAGAAGTAGGAAATGAACTTTTTACCCTTTTCCTTCCTAAAAAACCTTCTGTTGTGGTCGATATGCTCCTGGCGGGCGTAGGGTTGAAATCTGCCTTCTTTTTTTTTATTTTTTTTATTTATTTTTTATTTTTTTTTAATGTTTTTTTTTTTATTTATTTCTTAGGAGAGAGAGAGAGAGACAGCGNGCGTGAGCAGGGGAGGGTCAGAGAGAGTGGGAGTCACAGACTGAAACAGGCTCCAGGCTCTGAGCTGGCAGTCAGCACAGAGCCCGACGCGGGGCTCGAACCCGCGAACTGCGAGATCATGACCTAAGCGAAAGTCGGACGCTTAACCGACTAAGCCACCCAGGCGCCCCTGAAATCTGCCTTCTTAACGTGAGTTTGCCTGTTACTGTTTCATGGCTGGTAGCGGAAGCGGCAGGACTCGTGGGTCGGAGCGAGGACGCCGTTACTCAGCTCGGCTCCGCGTACCCTGCCCGCCCCCCTCGCCCTGAGCCCCGCAGGGGCCCTTGGCACGGCCCCGGCGGCCTCTGGGCACACGGGCTGTGAGTGGCACGTGAGCGAGCCTGCCGGCTGTCCAGAGGAGGCCCGGCAAGCGTCTTACCTGGCCGGGTTCTCGGCCGCGCAGATATCCCCGAGAAGTGGCTCAGGTGATGGCACGTCCAGGGCACGGCAGTCTTACAGGCCTACAGGACGCACGGGGAGGCGGGGGACCCAAGCGGGGTCAGAATCGCTGTGTTCCCCAGCTTATCAACATTGTTTTCATACAAGATCATGGCAGAAGCTTTAGATTCTTTGATTTGCAGCGGCGGGGAGAATGGGGAAGAATCTTGAGTTCAGTTTTGTTTTGTCTTGTTTTGTTTTGAGAGATGGGCAGGTCGCAGCTCCCAGGCATCCTGTGAAGCAGGCGACCTTTACCTGCTCAGACATTCGTCTCAAGTTAGCAGCGAGGACCTGGGTGTCACACTGAATCATTCTCTTCCTCATTCATAAGTTTAAGGCATTTTGGCCGGTTTTGTTTTGAACAAATTTTCAGCCAGTTTTCTCCATTACACCTTGTCACATATGAAAGATGATTTATCTTTCCATATATGTTGTTTAAATGAGTCTTAAAAATCAAAGACTAAGGTGTTTGAAGGGATTTCTGCGTATGAGATAAATTCCTGAAGGCAAGCATCTTGGAAGAGAAGGCTTTATATAGATAGTTACAAAGTTAGAAAATGAAAAATTTGAATGCAAAGAAAATAGGAATTGCTCCTTTAGTAATGTTCCCTGATTTCGATTTCTTCTGACCCCCCCACCCCCGTTCTACACCAGCGTCCCAGAGTGTAGAACACAGATTCAGATTACTTAGAGAAAAAACTGTTCATCAACTCTTTTCTCCCAGCCCATCTCAAAACCATCGTGGGTCTTCCATATCAAGTGGGCCATTCCTACTCAGTTGATTTGAATCTTATATTTGGGGGGCTCCTGGGTGACTCAGTTGGTTAAGTGTCCAACTTCGGCTCAGGTCATGATGTCGGGCTCTGTGCTGACAGCTCAGAGCCTGGAGCCTGTTTCAGATTCTGTGTCTCCCTCTCTCTGCCCCTCTGCAGCTCATGCTCTATCTCTCTCTCTCAAAAGTAAATAAACGTTAAAAAAAAAAAAAAAAAGAATCTTATATTTGGGTTTAATTGAATAAGCAAGGCGGTAATGTACTCCGCCTTGCAAGAGTCATAAATGGCTCTTGCAGTAGACACCCTGTGTGGATTGTAGAAGGGAGCCGGGTTTTGTGAGAGTCAGTGTTAGCTTTTTGATCCAGAAGATTGCCCTGAATCTTTATCTCGCCTGGGTCCCCTGGGCTCAGAGCCATGGTGCCAGCCGAGGCAAGAGTCAGCTTGGTAGCAGTTTCTTACATAAACTTAAGATTTTGAAGGTTTAAACTTGTTATTATTTAGGAGGGAGAAAATGGCAAGGTCTTTGTCTTAGCCATGGCTGAATAATGAGTAATGATAGTGGTGTAATATTTCTTCTGCCCCCGCCCCCCAACCTGGCTCTTGAAATTGGATGTCTGATACATCATTATGGACTTTTTTTTTTTCTCAATTAGTGATGATACTTTTTTCTTTTTCAAAAGTAAAAACTTACTAAGCTTAGAAAGCTAAGGGAAGAGCTGAGATAAAACCCTTCCTGCACGATGGGTGGGGCTGTATTCCAGGGCTTGGAGGCACACTGGGACACTGGTGACCTGTCCGTAGCGACCACTCTGCATGCTGGGGCTTCTGAGATAAAATAAGCACCTGGTCATGAAACCAGTTATTTACTTCCTGTCTTTGTAGATGTCCGGAGGAGAATCGAACTTATTCAGGATTTTGAAATGCCTACCGTCTGTACCACTGTTAAGGTGTCAAAAGATGGACAGTACATCTTAGCAACTGGTAAGCATGTTTTTGCTTATGATTTATACACATTTCCCAGCCGGAAATGCTAGGGTAGGAAAGGTTGATTTTTTTTTTTTTTTATTACCTTAATGTTTTATTATAAAAAGTTTCAAACATACAGAAATACTGAAAAAAATTGTACAGCAAACATCCTTTTACCCACCACCTAGATTCTCAGTAGTATTTTGCTTGATCATATCTATCCGTCCCTGTCCATCCATCAATCCATCCTTTTTTTTTTTTCTATCCTGTTTTTTGATGCTTTCCAGAGCAGGTTGCAGATACCACTCAACTTTTCGCATAAATACCTCAGCACGTGTGCCATTAGCCAGACCGTATTTATTTACGGCTTTTCTTTTAGGTAGATTTTCATACAGTGAAATACACAGATCTTTTGAGGAGTTTTGACAGATGCATTCGCCTATGTAGGCCAAGCCCCAGTTGAGATCTGCAACATTCCTTTCACCCAGAAACTTCTTTCACGCCCCTCGCAGTCCATCGGGATCCCACCCACGCACTGGCATCCACTGCTCCTTGGGCTGGTTTTCAGCCTGTCTTGAAACTTTATGGAAATGTCGTCATAAACTGTGTGCCCTTTTATGTGAGGTTTATTTTCTTAGGACTTTTAAATTCGTCCGTGTTGTCATACGTGTCCGTGGTTTTTTCTTCTTACCAAGTGGTATTTCTTTATAAGAACGGACTGTGTATCCATTCTCCATTTGCTGGACACCTGGACCGATTTCATAGTTTAGTATTACTGACGAATTTCTATGAACAGCGTTACACAGGCTCGTTTTGGAGGATGTTGCTGGGCCAGAGGGTAGGTGTATGTTTCATTCTTGATCAGCTGCCAGACTTTTTCCAAGGCAGTCTGATCATTTTATACTCCTGCCAGCAATGAATGAGAGTTCCAGGAAGGGTTGCTTTTAACATAATTTTCTGTGTTATGAGCTGGTATTTTTTATGCTACTGAGATTCTTTATTAGTGGTATTTATTTGTCAGCATCAAAAAGCCATGAAACATAGATAACTTTTAATATGTTATAATTTAGAAGAGCATTATCCAGTGTGTGGTTGGCTGTGATCTTGGTACCTAAATCCTATGTATTGTGCACATATTTTTTTTTTCTTGCTGACTTAATATTATCCATTTATATCCCTTTTCCAAACACTTTCTTATTTGACAGAACTTTTGTACATCTACACGCCACCCTCTTGTGTGTTAATGATCGTCTCAGTATTAGCACGTTTCTTAGTCTCTAGGTCACATGTATTAATTACATACTGCATGTAGTTTCATATGTCTGAACAATTATATAGTGTATAACATGCATCATATGTAGTATGCACATCGGTATGTTATACTATATACCATTTTTGAATAAGGTCTTGGCGACTCAAGGGCTACCTCATTCCTTTTTTTTTTTAAATAATATCGATTGGCTTTAAAGACCAATCTTTTTCTCTTTTTGGTTGCAAACATGGTAAACTTACAAAAATCCAAACATTGGAGAAAAGCATAAGGTAAAATATGAAAGGCCCTAAAATTGCACTTCGTGGAGATAAACAGTCACTGTGCTTACTCATCCGACTTCTTGTGACCATGGTGCTCCCGGTCAGCGTCGACTCTGACAGACGTGAGGCTGTAGGCGCCACTGCGGCCCTTCCCTGCTGCCCTTCCCTGTGCACTCTGCATGCTCTCTCTCACTGGGTGGTATGTTGTGGCAGCCCTCGCTGTTGGGACCGGCTCATGTCATCCTCTCACGAGCTGTCTGATTTGCCATAATTTATGTGACCATTTCTGAGACTGTTCATTTTATTTGCTTTCAGTTTTTGGCCATTTGTCCACAGCGCTGCAGTGACCCCTCTTCCTGTCTTTGGTGCACGTTGTGGGTGTGTTTCTCTAGGGTACATTTGAATAAACGTCACACATTTTATAGATCTGCCAGGTTGTCCTCCAGAGAGGTTGTAACAGTTTATACCACTCACCAAGTGTAGGAGAGTACTTTTTTTTTTAGTACTCTCACCTACATGGACATTAACTATCTTTTCATCTTTGTCATTCTGATGGACAGTAACTATATCACTGTTTTTATCTACTTTGTTATGTTATCTGTGAAGTTTATTAGTTACTTGTATTTCATTTTCTATGACTTGCATGTTCATATCCTTCGCTGGTTTTCTCCTCGGGATGTTGGGGAGGGCTGCTTTTAAATTCTTTTTCTTTCACCGGGTCATAATGAATCCCGCTTACCTCTGAACATAAACTGTACATAATGTATCTGCAGGATATTGAGAGTGAAAAGTACCTCCTTTAGGTTTTACATCACGTTAATCTTTTTTACAGGAACATATAAACCTCGGGTTCGATGTTATGACACCTATCAGTTATCCTTGAAGTTTGAAAGGTGTTTAGATTCAGAAGGTAAGTAAGAGGTTAAATTTGAATTCCTGAAAATAGCATTTTTATATGTGGCTAGTTTTCTGCTTTTAAAATTTTTTTAAGTTTATTTATTTTGAGGGAGAGAGGATCCACATACACTAGTGGGGGTGGGACAGAAAGAGGGAGAGAGAGAGAAATCCAAGGAGGCTCCACACTGCTCGAACTCAGCAAACGATGAGAGCATGACCTGAGCCCAAATCAAGAGTCAGACCTTAACCCACCGAGACACCCAGGCGCCCTAAGTCTCCTGTTTTTTCAAACGGGAATGGGTTGTGTGTTAGCGTTCTTTGCTGTGGAACAAAGTACCACGAACGTGGCGGCTTATAGCATCGGCTCATCGGCTTGCAGCTTGGAGGCGAAGTGCATCCGGCTGCATGGTGTTCTGTGCGCGGGGCTGACCTCTGGGTGTCGGCCGGGCCCCCCGGCTCTTACTCAGGCTCTGGGCAGGAATCCGCTTGGAAGCCTTCCTCAGGGTGCAGAATGTGGCTGCTTGTGCTTGTAGGAGCGAGGTTCCCATTTGCTGCCAGCTGTCAGCCTGCCTTCCCTGCCGCCTGGTCTCCTCCAGACCCACGTCTGCTCACGGGGTCCTTCTCCTGCTTCGAGTCTCTCGCTCCCCCTTTGGCCAGCAGCCGCAGAACAGAAGAAAACTCTGGTGTTAAGGGCTCACGGGATTATAAATCTCCCCTCTGCTCCAGGAGGCTCATCCCCTGCAGAGAAGGGTCCCCTGCAGAGAAGAGAGAAGGCAGCTGACCTAGAGAGGGGGTGGGGGTTGCCGGGGGTGGGAGGCAGGGCAAGTGCAGGTACTTATCGGGCTGCTGCTGTTTGGGGTCGAGGGAAGAGCAGGTGATGGGCTAAGTATTCTTCAACTTGTTTTACCCTTTCCCTTTTAAAAACCATACAAACGCCACCTGCTGCGAATAACCACTGTTTTCACTCTTTATGTTTAGCGAGCGAGTGAGTAAAAAGCTGCTGTTCTCTTTTTTAAAGAAATAATTTTTGAATGTTCTTTTATGTCTGTTTTGGGCATCTCAGAAAAACTGGCAGAATTTGGAAGTCGCTACGTTTTGAGAATTTATTTAATTAGCCTCAGTTCTGCAGAAAATCTGGTTGATCTGTGCTGAGAAATTATAAAGCTTTTAATTTTCCATTTGGTGTTTTGGTGTCAGTATAATGTGGCAGCTGCCTTCTTGTTTTATGGAAGGACAAAAAAAAAGGGGAAAAACCTGTATTTGTATATATAATGTTTGTGTTGAGCTGAAATCTTTGCCCCAACTTTGCATTTTTATGGGGAATGTGGATTAGTAATTGTAATTTTTCTTACTGTTTCTTGTTTTTCAGTTGTCACCTTTGAAACTTTATCTGATGACTATTCAAAGGTACGCTTCATAGTATGGGTTACTGGATATACTCAAGAAGTCATGATGAATATTTTTATGATGATCCCATTGTTACATTAAAAATGGCTGTGTGGTAAAATAAAGCCTATTACTTTCTACAGATATATTTTTTGTTTCACACATGTGTGACATATAGAATAGCTTTTAAAACAACAGTGATAGCGAGAGCCTTTGACCAGTCTAATATCAAAATAAGTTTCCTGAATCGCGTATGGAACTTCATCTGGACTGTCAAGAATTAGTAGCGGCCATCTTTTCTAGACCATGTTAGATGGTAGATTTGTGATTTTAATTTTTGCACTTAAACTAGTGTTATTTGCCACGTTGCTTTCCTGTGTGAAAAGTAAAATAGTGTTGCTGTAGGCTTAACTTTCTTAACAATGCAAATGGGTGGCTGTGGAACAGTTCTGAGATGGCTCAAAACACAGCTTATATATATATATATTTTTTTTCTTTTTCTCTTTTTGGTTCCATTAGTCTGTCTTTAACCCTTAGGGCATTTTCGGTAGTTACAAAGCTGTCAGCAGAGTCCCTTATTCAATTTAAAATAATAAATTTTTAAAGGTAAAATAAAATTTTAATGATGTCTGTTGTCATCTGAAAGGAAAATTGAATTTTCTCAGCTGCTGTGGCTTTACATATTGTCTCCGGTTCCGGAGACTGGAGCGCAGTCTGTTCTTGTGCCTGTGGTGGTCATTGGTCACGTGTTGGGGACATGCCACTTTATAACGAATTTTGCCTAGGTGTTGATGAGTTTGCTTTCAAATACCACCTGCAGGTTTTTTTAGATACCTTTGTAATACATTAACATTAAATTGATACAGGAGTTTATCAAACCCTGCGTGGTAATTGTGAAATTATTAAACCTTGTTCTTCAATAAAATAGGAAATTACTCATTGAAGTTGCTGAGCAGTGCTCTACACTCTAAAGTGCTGGGGCCGGATTCAGGAAGGGCATTTGTTCTCAGTGTCTGTGGAAAGGCCGGAAGAGCTGTCTTGGGTGCAGGAAGGCATTCAGAAGGCAGGGACAGGTCTGGTTCTTAGCTGCAGTCCTTGTTCACCATGGAGAGTCGCGCGTATGTATGTGCGCGTTTACAGAGGGGCTGGGAGAGAGCAGAGTGTCTCCTGCTTTGTCCGTTCTAGTGACGGTGACGTAGATGCTTTTCCTTGAAACCTCAGCAAACTGATTTTCTCCTTTCATTTTCAGATTGTTTTTTTACATAATGATAGATACATCGAATTTCACTCACAATCCGGTTTTTACTACAAAACCAGAATACCAAAGTTCGGAAGAGATTTCTCCTACCACTATCCGTCCTGTGACTTGTATTTTGTTGGCGCAAGGTATCGGGTCCGATCGATCACCTCTGCTTTCTCCTTTCCACCTCTGATTTCCGTCCTTCAAGTCGAGGAGAGGGATTAAAAGAAGGATGAGACCTGATCCTTCAAAGGGTATAGTTCCAAAGTACCCGCTCATTGAGGAACTGACTTTTATTAGCATGTTGCTCTGAATCTGGAGCAATTTGGGCACCTAATAGGGTCTTTGTGGTGGTGAAGTCGCTTGTGTGACCCCATTGCCTGACATTTTAAATCTTCATTTTTATTGCCACCTTCCATAGGATTATAAAAATGATATGCATCGTTTTAGAAAATTGGGGGAATATTTTAAAATGCATAAAGTAAAAAACCCCCATAATCATGTCTCCCTAATAGTGTTTTGCTCTGTTTTCTTCTAGTCTTATGTATACCTATAGATCCACTTTGAGTCCTGTGTTCTCTGTGTTACTCTTAAATAATATTCTTCATGGGCGCCTGGGTGGCTTAGTCGTTGAGCGTCCGACTTTCGCTTAGGTCATGATCTCAGGGTACGTGGGTTCGGGCCCCGCATCGGGCTCTGTGCTGACTGCCAGCTCAGAGCCTGGAGCCTGTTTCAGAGTCTGTATCTCCCTCTCTCTCTCTGACCCTCCCCTGCTCGCGCTCTCTCTCTCTCCTAGAAATAAATCATTAAAAAAATTAAAAAAAATAAAAAAAAATAATAATATTCTTCGTAATAATTTCATAATATTTCCTTGGCACGTGAGTTGTTTCAATCACTTTTATACATGAACAAACTCACAAATAAGGTGATTATTTTTTAGGTTTAACGTACGTTTTGGTGTTTTACAGAGAGAAGTATGCCTTATAAGCAAATATATATGTTTCTAAAGTTCATATTTACCGGAAGCAAAGTTTGTTGCAGTTTACCAGATTCCTAACTTTGTTCATTACTTTGCAGCTCTGAAGTGTACAGGTTAAACTTAGAACAAGGACGGCACTTGAACCCTCTGCAGACGGACGCTGCGTGAGTATTTCGTGGCCAGAATACGCGTGCTTCTCTCGGCCAGGAGGGGGAGCCCGACGCTCACATTCTTGGCTTGTCACACTGAAGCAGAGCTCTGGGCAACTTCGTTAAAGAGTTTCAGTTTTTCTTCAACATAAAATTCACTACAAGACCTGGTGGTTTCTTTAAACTTAAATTTTTTTTAACACAGTAGAAAATTTTATAACTCACCGCGAGTCTGGTTTATTATTTTCTGCAGGGTTCTTTAAATTCTCATGATTTTATTCTGTGATATTCTCTCTTGAGGAGACATTGTGAATTAATTTGGCATTTCGTTTTCCAAATTTTATTTTGTATGTTTTTGCTGGCAGACATCTATGGTTTTTTCAAGTTTTCCTTTTATCATACATTACAGTCTGCCTTTTTGTTTTTATCAAAGAGAAAGCCATAAGAATAAATTTGTCTTAATAATATTGAGTAACAATAACAGTGATAAGAGTGAAAAGGCTTTCTCTGTGCCCCATATTATTCAGCTTTTTGTACATATTAACTCATTTTAAACTTATAACCGTTTTACAGTAGGTGCTATTAGTATCTCCCATTTTACAGACAGGACAGCTGAGGTGCAGTGGGGGTAAGTCCACGGTCACATAGCTAGTAAGGGGCGGGAGCCAGATTACCTCTCCTCCAAGTGTATAAAAAGCTTGTTGGATTGTCCTTATTGCTTTGAAAGGGTTTTTAAAGGTTGGAAGAACACGTAGTGATAAAGGTGAGGTAGCCTCTCGGTACTGTTTTCACACTGGCTTGCGATGCTCTTATTTTCTTTAAAGAAAAAGAAGCTACAGTAGCTTCACAGTGTCTTGCTGGGGGATAAGAACTTGTCTGCCTTCCCGCCGCACGCTTCCCCGTTTACAACAGCTGGTCTCTCACTTACTGAGTGTCCCGTCTGGGTGCCCTGTTGAACGTTTTGTAACTTGTTTCACGTAATCCTCACAACCGCTGGAAGAGGTAGGCGAAGTACCCGCGTCACAGAAAAAGAAGATGGAGCTCCGGCCGGTGTGCCCGGTTCCGGCTGGCCCGGCCTCAGGGCCGGCCCGGGAGTCGCCCGTGTTCGTCCTCTCTGCCGCGGGACAGGACACTGAGAACGTAGAATGAGCCTTTATTCTCATGGCGGTAGGTAGTTTTTTAGAAGGCATTCCTTCCTTGTGTCCTCCGCCTGGCGGGCTGAGTGGCACTCATTTCTGGTGGTTTTCACAGCCCCGTGAGTGCGGAAGAGCCCGCAGGTCTCCTTTCCCCACAGCACTGGGCTGTTTGTTGAGAAAGTTCGCTGAGTGTCCCTTCCGCCCAGCAGAGATCGTAACGCGCTCCGTCGTCGCTTTACCGTTTCAGGGAGAATAACGTGTGTGACATAAACTCCGTGCACGGCTTGTTTGCCACAGGGACAGTGGAGGTGAGCGGACGTTGCCTTTATTTTTTAAATATCTGCTTTGCTTTTGATGACGAGTGGAGTTTTACATAAAGACAGTTGCGGGGGGCGCCTGGGGGCTCAGTCGGTCGAGCCTCCGACTTCAGCTCAAGTCAGGATCTCACGGTTCAGAGTTGGAGCCCTGCACGGGGGCTCACTGCTGTCCGGGGGCTCACTGCTGTCCGCGCAGAGCCCGCTTTGGAGCCTCCGTGCTCCCCTCTCGCTGCCCCTCCCCCCCCCAATGAATAAACATTAACAAAAAGTTGCTTGCTCTAAGCAGGGTGCCAGTGGAGCCACAGGTGACCGGTTTGCTTTGTGTGTGGAACATTGGAACCGCTCCCTGGTGTTTCTGTCGCTGCAGACCTCCGCCTCGTGCGTCTGGTCTGCCTTTCACGTTGGCCGTCAGGAGCCACACGAGCATCGCCGACTCCCCGGGGCCGGCGGCAGTCTTGTTCTGAACCGGGGGCCACTCTATCCCTGAGTCCCAGCTCTCTGCTACTTACTAGTTTTACGACCAAATTATTTCCCTGAGGCTCAGTTTGCTCCGCGACGGACTGGAGGTAATGTTACCTTGCCAGCTTCATGGAGGTGCTGCTGAGCGCTGCGCGCCCCGCACGCCAGCGTCCTGCGCTGCAGACGTGTCGGGGTTGGGATTGTGTGTCCTGTGTCATGGCCTTCCATAAGCATACAACGCTTTCCTTTAAAATTTTTTTTAATGTTTTATTATTTCTTAGAGGCAGCATGAGCAGGGGAGGGGCAGAAAGAGAGGGAGACACAGAATCCAAAGCAGGCTCCAGGCGCTGAGCTGTCAGCACAGAGCCCAACGCGGGGCTCGAACCCACAAACCGTAAGATCATGACCTGAGCCTAAGTCAGACGCTTAACCGACTGAGCCACCCAGGTGCCCCAACATATTCCTTTTAAACCACAGTACTTCTGAATCCATGTTCTCCATACTTGTCAAGAATTTTCCTAGATTTGCATTTTTAATTACAGTAAATACTCCTAGTAAAAAAAGATCTGCCCGAGTTAATTCTTTAATGTGTTTTCCTAAGTATATGCAGATATACATACCTGTTAGATGTTTTTCTGAAGTTTTTTGCAAAGGTGAAATTATATACTGTAGTTCTTCATTTGCTTTTTTTAACCTAATGGTGTATATAATATGCATCTTTATACATTGGTACTTGTAATTACTTATAATGCTAAACTAATTTTTTTTTTTTAATATTTTTTTAAATGTTTTATTTATTTCTAGGAGAGAAAGAGAGACAGCGTGAGCAGGGGGGGGTCAGAGAGAGAGGGAGTCACAGACTGAAACAGGCTCCAGGCTCTGAGCTGGCAGTCAGCACAGAGCCCAACGCGGGGCTCGAACCCACGAACCGCGAGATCATGACCTAAGCGAAAGTCGGACGCTTAACCGACTAAGCCACCCAGGCGCCCCAATGCTAAACTAATTTTTAAAAACTGATGCGTAGGATTCCATTGTTGGAATGTACTAGAGTTCATTAAACCCATCCTGTATAGATGAAATTTAAGTCTCTTCTCAAGTTATTATTTTTTTAAGTTTGTTTATTTTGAGAGAGAGCGAGCCAGCTGTGTGCAGGCTGGGGAGGGGCATGAACAGGGAGGGAGAGAATCCCAAGTATGCTCCATCAGTGCAGAGCCCGACCTGGGGCTCAGTCACAAACTGTGAAATCATGACCTGAGCCTAAATCAAGAATCAGACACCCAGAATGAACCGTCCAGGCACCCCTCTACTCAAATTATTTTTATGGTAAGAGATCAGGATTTGAAATGGGACACAGAGTTGATTAATGAAATTCTATAAAACTGTGTTGAATAGAATGCTCCTATACCTAAATCAGGCCAGTTAAGCATTCTCTTGGTAAGTACTTTTCTTGAGATTACCAAGGGGACATTTTAAAACATTTTCTTAGGAAAAGTAGTTTTAAATAGAGTTTTATAGAGCAGTTTAAGCCTTACAGATAAGAGCTCTGGAAGAGAAGGTTATAAATTGGGCAGGCTACTACCTTATCAGCTGTTTAAGACCATCCCTGGGGGGGAGACTAGACCCCCTCTCGCCTAAAGGCTGGGGTTCCTAAAATTCCTGGATTACCGAGGGCTTGATATTTGATACCCATAGTCAGACAGACTTACAAAGTCACTTTTGTGTGAATTTTGATACGCTATGTTGGATTTTTATTTTGTCTGTGACAGGCATTATTACTTACTATTGTCAGAATCAAACAGGACGGGCTTGGTTTCGTGGTTTTTGGAGTACATACGAGTGCAGGCTTCAGCAACAGGAATATTCAAATTTAGGTCGCAGAAGAACATTACGGTTGGAAAAAAATTGTATTTACTCTGGAATTTGCATGCCTATTTTTTTGTTTTTGAAATGTGACTTTTTTTATGTCCATAAAGTCCAATAATCCATTTTAAGAAGGCAACAGCAGGCCGTATGGAATTGCGCAATTTCTAGGATTTCCTTATTTATCTTTGTGATGGACACATTTGTAACAATACTAAATGAGTCAGGAGGTCAAGCCTTCTAAGTATATTTGAGGTCTCTTTTTAAGGTGGTTTTTATTTTTATTTATTTATTTTTAATGTTTTTATTTCTAGGAGAGAGAGAGAGAGACAGCGTGAGCAGGGGAGGGTCAGAGAGAGAGGGAGTCACAGACTGAAACAGGCTCCAGGCTCTGAGCTGGCAGTCAGCACAGAGCCTGACGTGGGGCCCGAACCCACGAACCGCGAGATCATGACCTAAGCGAAAGTCAGACGCTTAACCGACTAAGCCACCCAGGCGCCCCTTAAAGTGGTTTTTATAGTAAACAGTTTTTAAAAAGCCTTTGTGTATATATTTTTTAATCTTATAAAATTGAACAGAGAAAAGTAAAAAGTGAGAAGCATAGTTCCCTTCCACCCTCCCCCAGTCCTGTTTCCTCACACTTCCTGAACACTGTTAATAATTCATTGTGTGTCCTGTCTCAGGATTTTCTGTGTTGGTACAGACATTCTTTTTAAAAAGACAGTGGGATCCTACTATTTGTTTATGAAACAGAGGGAGAGAGAATCCATGCTGAGCGTGAAGCCCAACAGGGGGATCGATCCCACAGCCCTGAGGTTATGACCTGAGCTGAAATCAAGAGCTGGACACGTAACTGATTGAACCACCCAAGCGCACCCCTCCCCCATACTATTTTCTTTAAGTAAACTTTTTTTACCTAACAGATTGTGGGCGTATTTCTAGTATATGCACGTGTAAGTCATTCTTTTCAGTGATTACATAGTATTCCTCTTCAATGGATTATGCCACTTGCTCCCTTACTCTGTTACTTACAGTTCTTATTTTGTTTTTTCATGTTTTGCTTTATTTGCTGTATTTGCTTAGTTTTTTGCCTTTTATTTTTTTAAAATTCTGAAAATCTGTAAACTTCACTTTCTGTAAAATTGAAAACAGTTCACTAATCACTTATTTACATTTTACACGTTTGCTTTCTTTTGCTATTAAAATGTGTATGTGTGTTATATGAAACATGTTTTTTGAACCATTTGGAAATAAGTTGCAGACATGGTATTTTAGCCCTAAATACTTGTGAAACGTTTTTCTTAAAAACAAGGACTTTGGAGTGCCTGGGTGGCTCAGTTGGGTAAGCGTCTGACTCGGTTTCGGCTTAAGTCATGATCTCACAGTCGTGGGCTTGAGTCCCAGTGCAGAGCCTGCTTCACATCCTCTGTCTCCCCCTCTCTCTGCCCCTCCCCTTCTCATGCATGCACGTTCTCTCTCTCAAAAGTAAACATTTGAAACAAAAACAAAAAAACCCAAGGATTTTCTTCTAGAAAATCATATTACTGTTATCATTCTTAAGAAATTTAACATTGATACAATATTACATTTTAAATATTTAATGTTGACACAATATTTAAATATTCCCAGTTATATACCAAAGTGTCTTTTACAGCCCTGCCCCACGCCACCCTCCCACCAAACCAAGGTCCAATCAAGGATCATGCATTGCATTTTGGACTTCTTTTCTTTTCTTTTTTTAAATGTTTTATTTATTTCTGAGAAAGCGAGAGGCAGCGTGAGCAGGGGAGGGTCAGAGAGAGGGGGATATACAAAATCCAAAGCAGGCTCCAGGCTTTGAGCTGTCAGCCCAGAGCCCCACGCAGGGCTCAAACCCACCAACCGTGAGATCATGACCTGAGCTGAAGTCAGATGTTTAACCAGCTGAGCCACCCAGGTGCCTCATGGCCTTCTTTTCTTAACCAGTCATCTACCTACCTACCTACCTACCTTCCTTCCCTCCTTCTAAAACAAATTTAGCTCATGGTAAAAAATTTGACAGTATTAGAAAAGTTAAATTCTTATCTCCCATGAGACCATCAGTGTTAATAAATCCTGTTTCGGTATTTGTCTAAAAATACCTGGCAGTAGCTGTTGTATAAAATGACCATTTTGGGTGTGTTCAGGGTCGCGTGGAGTGCTGGGACCCAAGAACCCGCGGTCGGGTAGGTCTGCTGGACTGCGCGCTGAGCAGCGTCACGGCAGATTCAGAGTAAGTGGGAATTACTGTACTGCTTAAATATCCACGTGCTTAAGACTGAAACACACATGTCAATACTGGGTTAAAGTCAATTGCCAAAGGATGAAATTCTTCAGACTTAATGTCTGAGGTTGTAGTTTTATGACTTTTATGCAAAAATCCTTTTCTTGGAGAAGTTCACTAAGTGAGAAAGCCAGACAGGATTCCTTCCTAAGGTGCCATGTAGAATGTCTTTTCTGTTAGCTGCTGTGGATTGGCATCAGAATAGATGCACTGCAGGAATTTGTACCTCCAGTTCTGTAAGGTCTCCTGATACAACCAGGGCTTCGCTGCTCCAGTCAGTGAGCTGAAAGGAACGTACTTTGAACTCTATCTTGGAGGGAGGCAAGTGTTTCTGGTATCTTCTTGTCCCTGTTTGCCAATTTCTACATTTATAACAGTCAGAAAAGTAACAAAGTTGGGGGATGACAACTCCTAAATGCCTGAATTAAGTAAGAACTACAGGCCCCCTGTCTTTCCTTCACTCACCAGAAAGGTTACTGTTTGATACATACATTTTCAGACGTTTTTCTGAGCAGTTCATGTTAATATGCAGTCTTACACTCTCTTGGTCAGATTCTTTTTTTTTTTTTTTTAATGTTTATTTATTACTGAGAGACAGACATAGAGCATGGGCAGGGGAGGAGCAGAGAGAAAGGGAGACACAGAATCTGAAGCAGGCTCCAGGCTCTGAGCTGTCAGCACAGAGCTAACGTGGGGATCGAACTCACAAACCTTGAGATCATGACCTGAGCTGAAGTGCTGAAGTCAGACGTTTAACTGAGCCACCTAGGCGCCCCTATATAGTTCTCTCTTTTGATAAATCCACTTATGTAAAACATCCTTGACTTGGAGATAAGTTAAAAATCACTGAAATGGAAAGACATCTTTTTCTAATATGTATTTTTCTCAATATAAGTAAAGAATAAGTTAATTTTTTTTCATCTGTTAATCATGACACTTAAAGGGAGTGTAGGAAATCTTTGCCCTCTTATTGAGTTTTATTAAAGTAGTACTAACGAACAACTTCATTAATCACAATATGGAGTATAGTAAGCAACTTTGAAGTGGAAAATTCACTCATTTTATATTCTTTTTTTTGTTCTTAGAATTAGCCATTTTTGTGAAATATAACACATATACTGAAAATCTGTAAACATGAACGCACAGATTACTGAATTACTCTGAAATTCCGCATTTGTCAATAGAATAAACCAGTAGAAAATGCTTCTCAACATTTCATTATATTGGTATGAAAGAAAATGAATCCAATACCTGCTTATTTTTAGAAAGCAGGGAGTCAGCTGTAAGTGACTCCCTAGGAAGTGGAACAGTTAATTTTCTCTTACTCATAAACGTTAACTTGTCTTTGAATTAAAATTGAGAGACTTGGGTTCTACTACAAGCTCTGTCGTTGTAGGACAATCATTTGAGGAAACAGGCAAGCGTTCTTTGTACTATGATTATGTCTTAAGGTTATTTTACTTTAGATTTATGACTGCTATAGAAGTAACAGAAAACTTAAGGAAGGGATATGAAAAGATAATCTTTACTGTGCTCTTCAGAAATATTCTCTCTTAATTAATAGAATATCGACTCACATACGTTTTAGTGGCCCGCTTGTCCTTGGGGGTGGGCATTTTTTTTTAGTTATCGTGATGGTGATTTTATTTTAAAAAACTACTTTATAAAACCGATTTATATTTAGCATAAAAAGATACTAAACAGTTTCAGAAATACACAAAAGAAAGTAACAGTGCCCTCTGCCTACACACAGGCAGGTGTGATTTAAGTAGCCAGAGTACTCTTGTGCATGAAAGATGCTTATAGTTTTTCATTATTATACATCCACCTGTAGTTCTATGTTAATTCCTGAAGGAACACATTGAGAGCCTGGATTTCTGGGCTAACTAGCACGCATATGTGTTTTTAACGCTTTTGTACCCATTTCCAAATTGCCCGACAGAAAGGTAACATCGGAGTGAAGGTCGGCCTGCTGTACAGAGCGTATTGCCTCCCGCCCACCGTTGCCCACGGTGTCCATCCCATTCTGATAATACTGAAAAGTTAGAAATAGCCTCAGAGTATTGATTAAATACAGCGTGGTGGAAATAATAGCTAACAGCCTTTGTTTGCCAGCTCGTGTCCTTAGTTCTTCAGAGATACTAAGTTATCACAGTGATAACCTTTGACGTAGGTACTGCTACTGTATTTATTCTACAGATGGGGAAATATTGAGCAATGGCGTACGTAAGCGTTTAACAATTCTGTTGCAAAAGTACATTTATTTCTAGGGGAACGTGTTCCAAATGTACTGCTAAGTGGAAGAGCAAATCATGCTGTTGTCTACAGAGTTTTATCACATTTTGATAAAAACAGTGATGAGCACGCATGTGGAGTCCTAGGGAAAAATCTGGATGTGTATCACAGTGTCACAGGTAGTTTTGCTTGCCGCTTCAGTTTCAGGAGATTTTAGTTGTTAATCTGTGTGTGTTCAGCTTCGTGATTTTCTGTGCAAGCGTTATAAGCTGTCACCTCTATTATCTGACAGAGGTGGGGTTCTGCAAGGTGGAGCCGGTACAATAAAGAGAATGAAGTACGCATAGTTATTGGACAGGAGGACGGGCTGTCCTTGTTTGCAGACACTGTGACTGTCTGCCTGAGAAACCCAGTTAGAATCCCCTGGAAATCGTCAGAACCTAACATGAGAGTTGAAGAAGTTGGTTATAAAATAAATGTGCAAACTCAGTGGCTTTGAGGTTTAGCAGCAATGCCCAGCAAGAAGGATACAGGGGGGAGCTGTTCTCACTCCTGACCCGAACCTTGTGCCCACCTGAAGAACATGACAAGATTCTGTTAGGAGTCCAGACAGTTCTAGTAAGTAAAGCAGCGCGCAGGACGCCACACTGACAACGCGCTCCTAGAGGTCATTGGGAGCTTTCACCATGTATGCATGGAATATTTTGCCTTTCAGGATAAACAGTTTACCAACAATCTCTGCTTTGAAATTTAATGGAGCCTTGACCATGGCAGTTGGAACATCCACAGGGCAGGTAAATATATTTAAATTGAGAACTTCATTCTTAATGTTGGTATCTCAGAGACACGTATGTGTTGTGGGAAATAATCTGCTCACCGTGGGAACAGAAAATGAGGCATCCGTGTTTTGGCCGGAGTGGAGAGGGTACTCCAGTGTACTGTATTTTATTTATTTAAAAAAAAATTTTTTTTTAATGTTTGTTTATTTTTGACAGGGAGACAGAGCATGAACCAGGGGAGGAGCAGAGAGAGAGGGAGACACAGAATTCGAAGCAGGCTCAGAGCCCGACCCGGGGCTTGACCCCATGAACTGTGGGATCATGCCCTGAGCCGAAGTCAAACGCTTAACTGACTGAGCCACCCAGGCGCCCCCAGAACGCTGTATTTTAGTACCTTGAGAAATCCTGACTCTGGCCTTCATGGTTGGTCTGAGAGGCTCTTGAGCCAGAGCTATAGTGTGGGTGCGCCTCCGGCATTCTCTTGACCATGGTTTAGAACATTTTCCAGAGTGTGTAGAATAGAATTCTGTGGTCTACAAAGTTTAGAATTCTGCCAGACTCCCGCTCTTAGAGGCTCACAGTGCATTGAAATATATATTGAAGGCTCTGAGGTTCCTCTAGACAAGAAATGTGTTTAACAAGTATTTCCAAAACTGATTTGTACAAGGAAGCTTTTTTTCACCGAGCACCACGGACCACACCCCACGCAGTAACCTTAGCGGAGTTAGTGTGACAGGTATGGCTGGAGCAGCTACGGAGGGTTCATTTCATCTTTTCTTTCTTCCCTTCTTTACTTGAAGGCAAGATTCACACACTCGTAAGTCTGTTCTCGGGAGCAGGTCTGAGACCCTCCTCCCAGTGGAGCTAAACTCTGCCGTCCCGGGCTGCAGGGGACCCGTCACCGGGGGCTGAGAGCCAGCCTTCCCAGGCCTCTGGCCTCCAGTGACAGGGCCCAGAAGAGACCTGCCTGCCACCACTGTCTGTCGCTCACCCGTCAGGGCCATCGTCATTAAGCCTTTTGTGATTTCTGTCACTTGCGGTGACAGTGCCTGGTCCATAGTAGCCCTCAGGATATATATTTGGTTTGGTTCACAAACGGCACAGATTCTTAGGAATTTTCTTTTTTTCTCCTTTCTGAGTACAGCTCAGTAGTTCTCCATCTCAGTGTGCCAAAAACTGACTCTCCGGCCACATTCATAGAACCATGCACTCTGAGGGTAATTTAAGAGATTTTTCTAGAGTATTTTTTGCTGTCCGACTTTAAAATCTTTGTGGCCTGAATAAGAGTGTTCACTGTGCTCATCAAAAGGCAATGAAACAAATGGTAGCCATCATTCAGAGTTTTCAAAGTTATTTTTTAAGATAAATATATTTAGTTTGTTTAAACAGAAATATCTTGTTTTCTTTTTAGGTTTTATTGTATGATCTTCGCTCGGATAAGCCATTGCTGGTGAAGGATCACCAGTACGGGCTGCCCATCAAGTCCGTTCATTTCCAGGATTCGTTAGATTTGATTTTGTCTGCAGACTCGCGGATCATCAAAATGTGGAACAAGAACTCAGTACGTACTTTTCTGTTGAAATTGCTTATTAGTGTATTTTTCTAAAGTTCCTTTTCTTTCTGTTGCCTCTTTTGAGTTATGTGAGCCCTTGAGAAGGAGATGCTGGCTCCCGTTCGGCAGCATAGTTGGGAGACACGTACTTCGGTACAGATAATATTCCTGTTTAGTAAAGTAGTCAAGACTGCCTTCTTCCTGCTACGAAGTCTCCTGGTTTGCTAGAACTGGCATGCCTTTTTACGCGTTCGCTTGGGTAGAGAGTAAATCATGTTTTAAAAAACATTGCTCCGTGAGAACCTTCTAGATCCAAGGCTGCCTCACAGCCTCGGGAGAGTTTTTATGAGCTACTAATTACCTTTCGGTGTCAGTGTTATTATGTATCTCAATTTCATACCTTTTAAAACCTGTCTCAAAGAATTGGCTTTTGGGAATGACCCCTTTATAGTAATTCCTTAGAGTGTTTTTTTAAAAAGCAGTATTTTCTTAAAAACATTTGTTGTTCTTTCCCCTCAATTCCGAGTAGCATCTAAAAAGTAAAAGTAACAAAAGCCTGTATTTCTGGTTTTCATCTGCCTATGCTTTTCGTCTTTCCATTTTAAAACTTTAAGTATTTTGAGAAAATAGTGAAAAGTTAGCTCGTCTACAAAATGGGAAAAAATTCACTGAGCATAGCAATTGCTTCTAAGAGTTCTTTGTATTAGTTACAAATGTCTGTGTCGAGTCAGAAAGTGTTACTTCCATTTGATTAAAAAAAATTTTTTTTAGTGTTTATTTATTTTTGAGAGAGAGAGAGGGAGACACAGAATCTGAAGCAGGCTCCAGGCTCTGAACCGTCAGCACAGAGCCTGATGCGGGGCTCGAACTCACAAACAGTGAGATCAGACCTGAGCTGAAGTCGGATGCTCAACCGACTGAGCCACCCAGGTGCCCCCCCATTTGATTTTTTAACTCATTTTTGAGGTGAAGGGGGTGCAGGGTCCAGTGGCCGTGGCGTTAGTGCCCGAGGGCAGGCACCGGTCATTCCCAGGGGCCCACGAGCAGCCTCCTCCCCCCGTAGCTACATCCTGGATTCCTGGCTGCTTGGACCATAGCTTTTGTGTGCACTTTTCATTTGCTCAATTCCCAAAGTATTGACCTTCCTCATTCTGTCTCAAATTAGAATTTGGCTACAGCTTTTCATCGAGTGTGCAGGAGCTGTCCCTCCCCACCCCACCCACCCCGTGCCTTAACTGTACCCTCTCCTTTGCCGTGGGAGCTTCTGGCGATGAGTTCATAAATGCAAGAGCTGGCAGACATTTTCAACACCCGGGCTTGAAATGATCCTGCCGCCGCCGCTGCAAGAAGTTGTGTTTTGGCGGCGTCGTTATGACTAAATCCGCCCTTTTGACCAACACCCAGATTACTTGGTTTTGCTTGACTTGCTTCCCTCATTTCTTTTCTCATCACCTCTTCCCGGTCCCGTCGTAACTCCTGTCTTTTATTTCTCTTTTCCTCTCTTAATTTTTTAAAATCTAGCACATTCCTCCCCTCTCCCCTTTTGCAAATAAAAGTGTGTTCGCCTTTCCCATGTAACTGACTCGTTACGTACTTGGAGGATTTCATTTTGCACATTACTTTATCCCCACTGTCGTACTCCGTCCTGCTCAGGGCTCACGACGTACATGTGGCAGCGTCTCCGTCCTGCTACGACCCCCACCCAGCCTCTGGTCTCTTGTACGAGTTCAGGTGGGGTGGATCTCCCAGATTATGAGAATTTTTCTGAGTTCATGCACAACTTTATTTTAAACTGTACCTGTTGCCGCTTTGAAAACATTATCCACAGAACTGTATTTATTTCCTTGGTTAAGTCACTTTTCCCCCATAGACATGAGTTTCTTCATCTCTAAAGTGAAAGCACTTGACACATGGATAAAAGGAACTCCCTACCGTATTTTAAACTTAAGTTCTGTCCTCTCCATCAGGTGACTTTATTTCTTTACGCAGTACCACGGCCACGGTACCAGTTCTTTACACACAGCCACATGGTTATGTCATAGCTCCGGTTTATTCTCCTTCCTCGGCGTTGCCGAAAGTTGTCTTCCTTTCACTGTTTTAATCACTCCTTTTTTGCCTGTTCTTTTAGGGAAAGATATTTACCTCGTTGGAACCAGAACACGACCTTAATGACGTCTGCCTCTATCCTAACTCAGGTATGCGCCATGTGGTGGTCAGTCATTCAGTGAGGTGAGGCTGAGTTGTGCTTTACTGGGTTTTAAACACATTTCATTTCATTTGTGAAGACGGGGTTTGGCTTGGTCAGGAGTGTTCTTGGGTGTTATATTTACTGGAAGAATCCAGAGCAGGAAGTGGTGTGGGTGATTCAGAAAATGGCGCTCTCCGTGACTCAGCCCTTAGCCAGTGGCTATTAGTAGAAACGTAACAATGTAGAGGTAGGTGGCAGGTGAGATGCTATTTTAGTGTGCTCGGTGCCCTTTTGTGTGATTAGTAATCGCGTGTGGAAATTGAGGTTTGGGAGCTAAAGACGGCTGGGGTTGCCTAGTAACCCACACGGCCTGGGAGGCCACAGGCTCTGGGAGCTTCGGTCTCGTGTACTGTTGCGCAAAGCGCATCGCGACTCTCAGGGTTTTACAATACGCTTGAGACAAATCTGTGAAGAATTTGGGAGCAGGAACGAAAATGAGAATAGTTCCCACTCTCAAGCAGTGTTGCATTCTGGGGACAGACAGACGCAGCTAATTTTGACGGATGGATACAAGGCAAAGCAGGAGAAATCTGTTGTGTCAGTGCAGACGGCACCCCGACAGTGTGTTAGAGAGAGAGCTTCGGCCAGAGAAACTAGGGAGGGGAGATGCCAGGAGATGTCTGTTTGTGTGTGTTTGGAGTGATGAGTGAGACTTACTGGGTGGGGCGGCAAGCTGAGGCCCCCATGTGAGGGGACAGTGTGAGACCGGCAGGCAGGATAGGCTGCGGTGGGGGCCATGGGGTCCTGTCTGTGGCACTTGCGCGGGAGAGTGATGGCGCCTGATGTGCCGGAGCCCTGGTGGTCCGCGGAGCCAGGGTGGAGGCGGCCGGAGTGCTGTGCTGAGTCCTCTGGGCTCGGCCCGTAGTCAGGACCTGGCCAGCTTGTGCTTTCAGAAGACGATTCTGTCTGTCCTCTAAAAGGTACATGGGTTTTGAACCAGCAGTTGGTAGGAAGGGTGCCCTGAGCTGATGGGGAACACGAGACAGAGCGGGTTAAGAGAGAGTGTTGTCTTCTTGGAACATCTGAACGTTAGGAGGCGATTGGACAGTGATAGTGTCTGGCAGAGGGTCTCAAACTTGGGAGCTGTTGGTATCACCTGGGGGGCTCTTTAAAATGACAGATTCCTTGGCCAGGTCCCAGGCGTACCGAGAGTCCCCAGGCGGAGGGCCCAGAAGCTGCTTCCCCGGTGCGCGTGAGGCCCGGCCTGACCCTGCGCCTTGCGGCGGGAGCCAGGTCAGGTGCGCGGTAGGAAGTGCGGTTACACCGCGTGCAGGCTGTTCATCAGAGCTTCTTCCAGAAGCGCGAGTGCTGCCATCACCACGGGGAAGCGTGCAGGGCCGGCCCCGTGTGCGTGCAGGCGGGGAATGTGGAGAAGGAAGGGCCAGCTGAGGAACTTGCCAGGAAAAGAAGGGACGGATGTTGAAGCAGAGCACAAGCAAAGGCACAAGTGGTCCAGTGGTCACCGCTCGGCAAGGTGGAGGGCGACGGAGGCTGAGGCAGGAGGGAAGGAGCAAGTTCTTAAAGGCTCCTGTGCTTCCGGGCTCCTCGATCCCCACGTACCGTTTGATCTTTCCAGAACCCTGTGTAGTTAATGGCACACACGTCTCTTTCTTTTCGCTTGTCTGTCTGTCTTACGTCTTAGGAGGTGAGGACAGTTGGGTACCTGGGCCGGAGTCAGTGGGTCGGCTGGTGCGGGGCAGGGCCTGGGTGGGAAGCTGGAGCCCATGCCCTCCCCGGCTGCATCGGTGTGACAGGCTGTGTGTCTGTGGCCACTGAGAAGATTCTGTTGCGGAGGTGGGGGTGAGGCCCAGGTCGGAGGAGTTCAACAATAATTGCAGACGAGGGTGCTGGGGTCCCAGTAAGAGAGCATCCGATGCCCTGAAACGGGTGTGCGCTGCATTGGAGGAGGAGTAAGTCAGCTGGGATGAGGTTGGAACAAGGTGGTAAGCAGGTTTAGCTGGGATGAGGGGTGAGAGGAAAATTCTTTAAATGTTTATTATTTTTGAGAGAGCGAGAGAGTCAGGGAGGAGCAGGGTGAAAGGGAGACAGAGGATCAGAAGTGGGCTCTGTGCTGACAGAAGAGGGCCCGACGTGGGGCTCGAACTCATGAAGCGTGACATCATGACCTGAGCCAAAGTCAGACGCTTAACCGACTGAGCCTCCCAGGCGCCCCAGAGGGCTGAGAGTTGGAAGGGCCAGCAAGTGCTGAGAGACGGAAGCCGCATGGCCACGCGTGGCCCTTGAGACCTGGCAGCAGGAGCCACCTGAACTGGGGTGTGCTGAGTGTGAACTACTACTCACCAGGTTTCAGAGACCTTGTAGAGGTAAAAAAATCACATGAAATAGATCTTTAATTTTTACATTAGTTACATACTGAAACGAAAATATTTAAGACATACTGGGTTAATAAGATACATTAAAGTTCACATTATCTGTTTTTAAAAATACTGTTTTTAAATCTGCCTGGTAGAAGATGTGAAATCACAGGTGAGTCTTGCATGACAGCTCTGGTGCCCGGCTCTGGCCCAGACCAGGGATCGGTCACAGCGCAGGGCACCGAGGGCCGCGTGCGAGTCTGCGCGGGGCCTGCGCCGTCCGTCACATGAGAGCGGGGCGCTCCTCTGGGAGGCTGAGGACGCCCGCCCCTCTAATGACTCTCGGTCCCCAGGGCTGCCTCCTGTGCAGCCCGTTCTCGCGTTTCCCCAGGCGTCCCCCAGATGCTGTTCGGAGCCAGGCTGTAGTCGGGGCAGAGTCTTTAGTGTCTTTCAGTCCTTGGCAGTTGTGTCCCCCTTCCCCCCCCCCCCGGTTTTTCTTTTTTTTTGCTTTTTCTCCAGGCTCTGGGCGGTAGTCTCGTGGACCGCCCTTCCCCCTGGATTTGCGTGGCTGGTTCATGTAGTGTCACAGACCTTGCGCCCCCAGCCTGTGACTGTGACACACTGCAGGTGAAATACTGTGGGCCAGAGGGGTGCTGGCCCCCCCCCCCCCCCCCCGTAGGCATCCAGGGCCCGTGAGGGGCACCGTGGTCCCTGGGTTAAGGTCACCACCAGGTCTCTTCATTGCAAAGTACGCTTTCTGAGAGATGAACGTTGTGAGTGTGACGGCTTTGAGCAGGACGTCGCTGTCGAACGACGTGTCAGAACCAAATCAAACACAAAAAGTAGCCAAATGGTTTGTTTCCAGGGCTTCGCAGACCCAGTGGGACCAGGGCCCGGGCCGCCGCCGCAGGGTTGCCCGTGAGCGGGCCTGAGTCACGCGCGGCCCTGCCGCCCCGGCCCCGCTCCCCTTCCCTTCAGCGCCGCTCTGGAGGCCGTGGGCTTAATCATCGGGCGCTTAATCATGTTTTAGGAAAGCTCAGTCGTCCCTCTTGCTTTCTCCTCTCACTTACTCATTTTGAAGTAATTAAAGCCGAATCACAACTCCCGTTTTGTAATGTTTTTCTAAAACAAAGATTGCTCAGAATATTGAGAAACGGTCCCGCCTTCCTGGCTCCTGCTTTGTTCCTGCCCTGACTGCTCACTCCGCCGCCTCCACGTCGCCGCGGCGGACACCTGCCCCGCGGGTCAGCTCCGTGACAGTGCGGCGCCCGTGGGGTGCCCGATGTCTGAGCCCCGCCACCTCCGGGGACCGGGGCCACCGCATTTGCGCCACCGGCACAGACAGAAGAAGATGGGCTATGGACTCAGGGAGCCCGAACCCAGGCTGGGTGGACCCGTAAATCCCCGTCCCGTGTCCTCAGCTGCTGTCCAGGGCCCTGGAGACCGCCTGCCCTGCCCTGTGCGACGTAGCTTCCCTCTGTGTCAAGTGTCCTCGCCCGACACAGGAAAGAGCAGTGCAAGTCACCTGCATGTGTCCTCGGTGCCCCACGCAGTGACACCCCAAGCTCTGTAGTGAGGTCGGCAGTGGGGCACTCAGGGAGGAGCGGCCCGGCCTTTCCTCCCTGACCCGGTTCCGTCCTCACAGCGCGTCTGCCCGAGCTCTTCAAGGCACCGGCCGCTGCCGTGGTTTCTGTGTCAGTGTTTCTGAAGGACTGAGATTTTGTCTTCCTTTGTCTGTAAATATCTGATCCATTACAGACGGGTACTTTTGTGAAACGTGGTAGAGACACGTCACAGCAAAGGGGTCACACGTGGCCGGCTCACTGCGGTGCCACGTCACAGTGTGGCTTTCCGAATTCTTCCTTCCTGACCCTGCACACACCGCCTGGCCAGGGGCCGGTTGGCGGGGTGGGCCTGGGGGCGTAGTGAGTGGCCCCGGCAGACAGCGTTCTCTCTGGTTTTGAACTCTGGGCTTCAGTGCGTTCCTTAGCCCCTGCAGCACATGCGCGTGAGAGTCCGTATATGCACGCTTCCGGGAGGGTGCCTCTGAGTCACCCCCTTCTCCTGCCTCAGCTGCATGTTGGGCCCCTCGGGACACCTGACACCTCGCTCTACGGTGTTGCTTCAGACTGGATGTGCGCTCTTTTGACTCTAGGTGCTCTTGAGCGTTTCCTTCTCTTTTAAAATTGGTGTCGGGGCACCTAGGTGGCTCAGTCGGTTAAGTGTCCGACTTCGGCGCAGGTCATGATCTCACAGCTTGTTGAGTTCGAGCCCTTCATTGGGCTCTGTGCTGACAGCTCACAGCCTGGAACCTGCTTCCGATTCTGTGTCTTCTCCCTCTTTGCCCCTCCCCCACTCCTGTTCTGTCTCTGTCTCTCAAAAACGAATCAATGTTAAACAATGTTAATTGATGTTATCATTGTTCAGGAGCATCACTGTAAAGGAAACTTAAAGGAGAAATCGTAAGGCCACAGTCTCTTCACAAGTACCGTTAATGACTCACACGAGAGAAGTTCTTGTGTTAACCTCACGTTTGTGTGTTCTGTCATCATCCTCACGTCAAACGCACGCACGTCTTTTGCCTTCCAGTTGACATGACGTTAACAGTTTTCCTGTTGCTCTATGGTGTTGACATTTGCACTTTTGAAATTCTTGTTACTTTCCCACGCAGGGAGTCTTTGTTTTATCTTAGTTGGTATTGTGGTTTTAGAGTTCTGCGCTCCCCGGGCCCTGGAGTCAGCCGACTCTCAGCTACTCCTTCCCAGCGATGCGGTGACCTTGGGCAGTTATCTAACTTTGTGAGGCTCCGCTGTTATCTGGAAATACAGTTCTCCTCTCTTGCCTGGGATCGTCTTCATTTCTGCTGAACTTTTTTCCACTATTTTGATTTTTTTTTTCCCTTCTTGTCCTTGGGCCTGGCCAAGGTTGCCTGTTTTTCTCATTCATAACTGGTTTTCCTCCTGACCTTCCCTGCTTTAGTTTGGTAGTAGGTCAGCTTGCATCATTGTCCGTATGTGGCCGAGTGAGATCCCGATCCATTGAGGAAAACAGTCCGCTGTGTCCAGTCTGGGCTCTTCAGGGTAATGGGATGAGAGCCCTGCCTGTGGTTGGGCAGGCGTGATTGTGTCTCCTTGCGGAAGGCACCCTGTTGAATGATCCCTGTTCAGAGCCAGGCCAGAGAAGCCAGGCTGAGGGAGCACCTTTGGCAAGAACCTTTCTGGTTGTCATCTGTCTCCTCAGTCCCCAGAACAGCTTCTTTCCCCGTGTCTAAAGGGCATAGGAGAAGGTTTGGCTCTAAGAGTCTCTGGCTTGTGACAGCGCACTCAATCCCCTTGAACTTGTTTTTCTTTAGATCCATAAAATAAGGATGCCGTTGTTTCTTACTTCAGAGATTTGTTGCGCGTTCACCAAGATAGTATCTGTGAAGGTGCTTACCAACTTGTGAGGAACTCCCCACACGGTTGCTGGTTCCAGCTGTGCTGAAGGGCGTCGTTCTGGAAGGGGCTGTGAGCGCCGGAGCCGCCTCAGGAGGCTTGTGGGGAGGAGTGGGCTGCAGGTGGCAGTGGGCAGAGAACAAGACGGGGAACACGGTCTCCCTGGTCCCGTGCCGGCAGAGCGGGGTGCCGTCGTGGGATGCCAGGAGGTGTGCCCATCCTCTGTTCTGCTTTCTCAAATACGGATCCTGAGAAGACTAAATCACTAAGCCCTCTGTTGGTTGAGGCTGTCCAGGTCCCCCGGCGGCGGGGTTCTTGGGGGAGAGTCAGGGTGTGGGATCGTGTGTAGGTCTCTCCTGGTGTGGCCACGCACGGCCTTCCCCTTGAGTCACACACTCGGTTTTCCGCTCAGGTGTGAGGTTTCACACAAACCTTGGGAACTGCTTTGCGTGGCATCCATTTTGCGGCAGATGTGTTGCCTTGCTTCTTGGATTCCTGATGAACAGAAAGAAGCCTTTGTTCTTAATTTCTTCAGTTTATTTTTGTAACTAGTGTTCCAGAAGTACGTTCTGTCCGTGTGCCCGAAGCTTAAAACTGTCCTTTGAAAGGTGACGGCAGACTTCCTGTTGGCCTGGGCACTGATGATGGGCATGCCTGTCTCCTTGGCTAGTACAGCCGCAGCCCGCAGCCGGGGATGTTGTGAAGAACTCCATGGTGCTTCAGGCGCCCCGTCTCGGAGGACCTGGCACCCGGGTGCGGCTTCCTCCATGCACTGTCTTCCGGGCACCCGGAGCACCCGTTCCAAGCGTGAAACAGATGGAAAAGGGCACCTTTCTTTTCCCCGTGTGTTTACTCTTCTCATTGTGCTTATTTTTAGGAATGCTCCTTACGGCCAGTGAAACCCCCAAGATGGGCATCTATTACATTCCGGTAAGTGGCACAGCAGGAATTACGGTAAAACTAGGCCAAGCACAGGTAGTTTATTTTTAAACGGGAGGTCCCGAGGGCCTTCGGGTCTGTCTGCGGCTGCGCAAATGAACTGGTGGCTTCACTCGCTCCGTGGAGCCCGGGAAAGAATGCTTCCCCGCTGTTTCGTGGGAAACTGCTGCTTCATGTCCTGTTAAAGGAGACATTAGGAGGTGGTCTTTGCTCTTCAGATTTACATTCGGATTTGTTTCCAAGTATTTCGGAATCCTGAGCTTTAAGCCATTAGCGATCAGGTGACCTGGTTCTCAACCAGCAGCCTGTGCTCTTAAGTCGTGTCGTCCTTTCTCGTACCAACAAGTTAGGCCTGTGCAGCCGGTCCCAGGCGGGCCTGCTCGGGGCTGGCACACAGCCAGCCCGGCTTTGTTCTCCTTTAGGGATTCTTCTCTTGCGCGTGACGGAAGCTTCCCTCGCTGTACCTTTCAGATGACAGTGAGAAAGACGCGTGGGGAAAGAGGGTCTCCTGAGCAGAAGACAGCATGGTACACAGCTGGCACTCACTCCTGCTACGGCCGGCAAACAGCTCCCTTTCTGAGATTTGGGGAGTGGGGGGAGGAGTGAGGACTGTTCCGGAGCAAGACTTGAGGGACGTGAAGCCTGTAACTGCTGGCAGCCTCCGTCTGGGAGACTTCTTCAGACCGACCGTGGTTCTTTTGAAGTAGCTGAATGGTGTGTGTATTTCCCCCAAAAAGTGCGCTGGCGGATGTCGACTTCCTGTGGCTTTGGAAAGCCGGCAAGTTGTTGAAAGCGCTTGGTTGTTAGTGAGACAGAGGCCGTTCCAGCAGCAGACTTGTCTGAGTTGTCCTTCGTTCCCTCTCCCCTGGCCGCCCAGCTGCTGCATCTGTTTTCCTGACACCGTCCCTCCCGTGTCTTCGTGCATCCGGGGGGCATGTTTGTCGGTTGCATCCGCTGTGCGTCAGGCCCCATCGCGACGTCGGCAGCCTCACACGGTGTGTGGAGCGCTGCCCCTTCCGTGAAGCAGTCCGCGGGCGGGGAGGGAAGAGAGGCAGGCCAGGGGAGGACCTCTGTAGGGGGAGGAGGGAGGGCGCTCGGGGTGCGGGGGCTCAGGAGCCTGCCCGGGGCGCACTTCCCAGGAGAGACCTGGGGGTGGTGACGTTCACAGGGTGGAGAGCGTGGGTGCAGAGCGCGAGAGAGAGCTTGGAAGTAGAGGGAACGGTGTGCAGACGTCAGGGAGAAAGTCATCCACATGGCTGAGCCCTAGAGGGCGGGGCGGGGTCTCCTGGGGCCCACGCGGGGGGGGGGGGTGGTCGTGGACAGGCGCTAAGCAGGGGAGCGATGTGGTCAGATGTGCGTCTGGGGAGGATTCTCATGGCTGCTCGGTCAGGTGGGATGAGGCCATAGCCACGTGCCAGAGAGACACGGTGCCTGTTTCCTGTGCTCGGCTTCCCTTCTCGGTGGCCGTAGCCTTTTGGGTTCTGGGGTCTGAGAGGGGTCTGGACCGGCAGGCGGTTGTTTCAGAGGTGTGTTGTTCTTGCGTTGCCACTTGGCACGTCTCAGAGGTACCTGTGGAGGTGGGCTGGTGTAGCTTTGCCTCGGTCCTGCACACGCGGTCTTCCAGAGGGACAGAGTCCATCAGCTCACCCCCTAAACCTGCTCACCCCGAGGCAGGCCCCGCTTCCCTCCCTCTTTGGAGAGCTTGCTGTGCGTTGGCCTTTAGTGTTCGCCCGAATGGTGTTGCTGTCCTATGCAGGGGTGGCTTTGCCGTGTCACCAGTGGACTCAACCAGGGGAGGGGGACGGAGGGCCAAGCCAGGGCACGTGTGGCTGTCAGGAGGCCTGCCGAATGGAGAAGGAGCCGCAGGCCACGGAGCCTCTCAGTGTAGACCTGGGAGGGGGCAGACCTGAGCACTTGCGCAGGGAGGCCACCTTCCCAGGCCGTGCGTGGCTGGGGCCACTGGGCAGAGAATTGGGAGGTAGCGCTTGGCAGTTGATGGGACGTGGAGAGTAAGCAGGGAAAACCAAACGCGGCGGCCCGGTTTCTGCATGGGTAAATGTGTGGACGAGGTGGAGGAGGGTGGGGAATATTAAAAACTTTTCTCCCTTTGAGGGGTGCCTGGGGGGCTCAGTCGGTTAAGCTTCTGACTCTTGGCTTTGGCTCAGGTCGTGATCCACGGTTCATGAGTCGCAGTCCCCTCGTCGGGCTGTGCTGACAGCGCAGGGCCTGCCCAGGTCCCCTCTCCCCGTCTGCCCCTCCCCTGCTCATGCACTCGCACTCTCTCTTTCCCTGTCCCTGAAAATAATCTTAAAAAAGGTATTTTCCCTTTGGTATCATGTTCTACGTTTTATAAAATTATGTTTAAAAGGAACAAGCACACTACTTTTTTGCTGGTCAAAGAATGAATTCATGTTTCTGTTTATTCCAAGTGTTTTACAAAGTGTAAGGAAATAAAAACCACCCATTCGCCCTTTGTAATATTATAAATGCTGATAATATGGAGATGCAGTAACTCCTAGTTATGATGTTATCGGTGTGAAGACATATTTTATATAAAAATTTTTATCCTGGTTTCTTCAGTTCACTTCAGAAGTATTAATTCCAAGGCCTCAAAATTACCTACAACATTTTTAGTTGTCTCCGTTGTTTGTCCTTGTGTTTAATTGCAGCGTAGTGAACACACAGCGTTAACATTAGTTCAGGTGGACGGTGTAGTGATTCAGCAGTTTTACACATGATCCCCCGTGTCCAGCACAAGTGTACCCTCAGTCCCCTTCACCTGTTTCACCCATCTGCCCCCCCAGCCCCCACCCTCGGCCCCCCGTCTCCATCATTTTTCATCGCGGGGTGTGTGACATTTGTATCATCCGAGAACTATAGGAGACCCATGATTCACTGCTCTCTGTAGCTCTTTCTTGGGGTGGGCTTTTCTGTCCCAAGTAGCAGGGACTTTAGTAAGCTTGAATGATGGGACCAGTACCAGCCACAGGGTGATAGCCTGCCTTCCTGACAAACGCAGAGTCAGCAGAAGCCATGAGAAAGCCCACGGGGACCGTCCGCTTGCGGTGGCTGCAGCGGCGGCGGGCACACGTCCTTCTCGCCCCACTGGGACCTGCGCTCGGCGCTCCTTCCCGGCTGCCTTTCTAGCCTGCGCTGCGTGAGGTTTTCCAGCCCCTCGCCTTCACTTGGGAGGCTCCGTCCGGGCAGGGAGAGAGCCCAGGGGCCTGAAAGCCTGCCATCTCTCAGAAGATTTTATCAAACTCACCGAGCTGATATTTGGCCCAGCGGTTTGTTTGAGGCCCATAAAACCAGGGCAGTGTGTTTTTCATGTATGATTCATGCCGAATTGAGGAGGTGTGGATTGTGATTTGTGTGAACATCTTATAAATCAGGTATGAAAGCTCTTCCCCCCCCCGCTCTGCTTCGGGCCTGCGCTAAAAAGGAAGGCAGGTTAATGTTCTTTTAGCTTGTTAAGGTTTGCATTTGTATCTGATACCATCTTCCTTGAACACTTGCAATCTTTATGGATCAAATGCAGCTCCCGAGGTTCCCACCGCGCCACGTACCCACCGTGCCATGGGCACGCGCAGAGCCCCTCGAGGGCCTCGTCTTTTGTGGCCAGGTGGGCCCCCTGCAGCGCTTCCCCACGGGCTCCCGTCCCCCTTCTGTCCCTCTTGGAGGCCAGGGGGCATTATTTTGCTTGTTTGTTTGCCTTTTAAATTCCAGGGTCTAATTCAACTGCAGCTTCTGAGACTAGTGCCAGGAAGAGTTTTTCAGGTTTGGTTTTCCCTGCAGTGGAATCTTATCCTAGGGGGGTGCTTTATAATTAAGCCTTTGGCCCCAGGGTCAACTCTAGAGGGAATCTGAGTCTCCTGTGGCACCGACCGGAAACCCAGCCAGGGGTTTATATTGTTTCTGCTGGAAACGACCCTGAGTTCTACGCCCCCAGGCTGTCGGGAGCCCCTGCCACCCCTCACGCCCGAGGAGTTGATTACTCACAAGCTCAATAAGGTACATACGGATGTGTGATCTTGAGGGAAAACGTAAGGGGCAAACACATGATTGTTTGTTTAGGAAGCTAGTTGATTTAGAAGAGGAAAAGTCCATTAAAGATGTAGTTTTGAAAACACGCGAATTTAAGCCACTACAAAGATTACATGCAGTGCCACCAGACCCAACAGTCAGTATTGGCGGTTAGGTATTTTATTTTAAAACATTTTCTTAGGAAAAAAGGTGACTCTGTTGTCTTTATGGAAATTTATTTACAATCTGTAAAAAATCGACCAAGCATTAAATATTTTAATGTTCACTGTTTAACTTAAAATTATTAACTTAATTTTCAATTTGGAAAGTATCTTGGAGCCCAGTTACCTGAAAATGGGGCAGAGTAAAAACACACAGGATTCTGTATAACCTGCACCAGCACTGGACCTTACCCAGCATAACACATAAGCCCACAAAACTCTGTCTTTGCAGAGAGAGAGAAGAGGGTGTTAAGAATCATAAATGCTCAGGAGTACTTGCTTCATTCACTTGAGCATAAACCACACACACTCTTCTGCACAAAGGCACGTAAAGCCGAAGGAAATGCAAACATTTCTCTAGTAGCTGAAATGTAATAAAATGTAGTAGTCGTGAAATGTAATAAAAGGCTCAGACTAATGCACGAACGTCTCTCTCTCTTTTTTTTTAATGTTTATTTCTTATTGAGACAGAAATAGAGCACAAGTGGGGAGGGACAGAGAGAGAGGAAGACAGAATCTGAAGCAGACTTTAGGCTCTGAGCTGTCAGCACAGAGCCCGACACGGGGCTTGAACCCACAAACCGTGAGATCATGACCTGAGCTGAAGTCAACGCTTAACCGACTGAGCTACCCGGGCGCCCCAAAGGTCTCTTGACTTCAGTGAGTTATCGCTCACAGAAGCAGAGTCTGTCTCAGAGCCGAGTGCTTCTGCCGCCTTCACTGGGCTCGCTTGCTCCCGTCTTCATG